ACTACAATTTAATCACTTGGTCATTTTTTAAAAACTCTGTTACTTTGCCTTGTATAACACCACCCAAGTTTTTCTTGGAGATGCTGCTCCTTCTCAGTCTCCTGTACTAACTTCTACCTCCACCCACACTTCAAGACATTGGCCTTCAGAGTGACTGAATCTTAGGCGTCATCTATTCTCATTTTACATTACAGATAGCAAATTAACAACCTACTAGCTCAATCCCCCACTGTCTAGCATAGTGTCTGAAAAAATAATAAATACCTAATAGATAGTTGTTTCAATAATCAATTAGCTAAAACTAGAATGCAATTGGACTTAGGTAAGGGGGTGGGGACACACTGAAAAACTAGCCACTACAATGAAAGACAAAATTCAAAAAGATAAGAATTCCTCCCAACCCCACTTCAACAGGTTCCCACACCAATTAGCATAACCTATGTAACCTTGATAGTTGATCAAGAAGTCAACAATTCATGCTTCAGCACTTCCTTGACACATGGTGATTTAAAAACACAATTAGGAAGTTGTTTGGAGTACTTAACCAGAGAACTACGATCAAGAAACTCATACATCTAAACTACCTAGATAAATGAGAGCTAGTCTATACTTCCCTTTGAGGGTCAAATTAAAACTCTATAATCAGTTTACTTACTTGTTTGTCTTCTAAAATTCAGTGATGGTTTTTTATGCTTATCATTCTTCCTAATCAACCCTGTGATACTCAGCAAAGAAAAGCTAGAACTAAACAAAAAACAAAGTCTGATTCACCTGTTTTCAGGCCAGCTGCATCTCAATAAAAGTATGATCAAATTCAAATTCTTCCTAATTTTGTGATGTGATGGAAGTGTTAGCTAACACTACAACAATAGTATTACAACAATAATATATATCAAATCAGTATGTCATATACCTTAAACTTATACATCATTTATACCTGAATAAAAAAACAAGTTAATTTCTTTCAAAACTCACTGAGGAGCAAAGAACACTCATAAACTCATCCAGAAATAATTTTTCAGCCAAAATTTGGCTTGACACAAATATATCAAGGACCAACTTATCAACAAAGAACTGCCTCATCCCAAACTCATCCCCAAACAGTGGTTTGTTTAAGATCTAGTGCCACATAAACTCAACTGAAATCAGCATGTCAGAAAAAAGGTTTCTTTGTCCAAAGATCACCCAAAAGCAACTGCTTAGCTAGAACCTAGCTCTACACAAATTCATCAGACAAGATGATCTGCAAAGTACTCTCCTGTCCAATGAAGCTATTCAGCAAGGAGCTACCACAAACTTAAATAGCTGCACCATCCAAAACTCTCCTAAAAACAGCTGCCTCTATCAAACTCACCTAAAACTAACTTGTCAGAAAGAGACTTCCCTGTCCAGAGATAGCTGAAAACAGGTGTTCAGTTAAGAGTACCATTCAAGAATAAGTAATAAGCAAAGAGCCAACCCATCTAAAATATATACCCAAAAAAAAAACTTGTTTCATCTGGTGTTGCCTTCCTGTATAATCACCCAATAGTAGCTATTAAGCCAAGAATTGTCCCATCCAAAGCTACTCTTAAAATAGCTATTCAATAGGAACTTGCTCTCAAAAACTTCATAGAAAATTCCATAGTCAATCAAATCTTATCTATCAAAATATTTTCTAAAAGTTGATACTGATAAAAAGTTTCTATATCTCAATCTTGTCCAATATCTTGTCCAAAGCCACCTCAAAAATACCTGATCACACTAATTTCCTTCAAATCTACTTATCAATAAGATTTGGAAAAAAGATAATGAAAATTAATTTTTTCCTTCTATGCCCCTCTATGCAATCCCATATTTGGATATTTTCATTTTTAAACTCTTACCCTCAAACACAAACCACTACTATAACTTTCATAAGCCCTGCTACCACCACTTCTAAAGTGACTTCTACCACCACCTCCACATCTGCAACTGCAGCTGTAATTCCCACACTGACATCTGCCATAACCATAAAACACACCACTCCATACTACAACAGCCTAGAAGCTGGCACCCACGTCAACTACTCTGAAACAAAAGCCTCTCCCCATGATGGCACCCAACCTTACACTGACTCTGCATTTAACTTTGAAACACAGAATCTCCTTATGGCACCACCGAACCATATACTGACCTTTCAATCCACTTTGAAACAACAAATTTTCCTGATAACCTCTACAAAACTGAAAGTAATTACCCAATTGGCAGTACTGTATTAACTCTGAGACAATATATATTCCCAACAGCATCCCAGAGCCTTACCTAAACCATCATTCACTATCCATATGCTAAAATCATTCATCCTTTTCACTAGTACTGCATCTCTTACCCCTCTCCTCAGCATCCTCATTTGTTGCCATTTGCAAGACATCCTTTCCCCATTTCACCTACATCCAAGCTTAGTTTTTAATCTACGTGTGTGTACTTTTAACATTGAGTTGGAATTTCATGTTACTACAATCTGTGAAACCCCTGAAGTTGTCTAATATACATCATGTTTATGGGCATATGTGCATTTTTCTGAGGAGATGGTGTATAGATTCAACCAGATTCTCAAAAGGGTGCATAACCCAAAGAAACTTAAAACTAAAACCAACATGAAAGATCAAGAAATGTCTAGACCTGTAGGCCAGCGATGTCACCTATAGTTCATATAACACTTTAATGAACCCTGATATCCTAAGTCATTTCAGAAAAATTAATTGCTTCACAGTTTTTGCTGATGTCTCTTAGTTTTAGAATAATTTAGGAGTTTTTCCTGTGTATAGTATCTACTTCTTGACACAACTCCATAATTATAGTATTGCAAGCTGTCTGCTTTCAGACTTAAAATTTCTTGTCTAAGAAATTACTCAACCTTCTTCATTACCCTTGTTTATTTTGGTCATATCGCACTGCTTGCTCTGTTTCCAAGATAGGGTGTGTCCCATCCCAGCTTGGAGTTGAAAGCATGTCTGCAACAGGCAACCACGCACAGTCTGTCCCTGAATCACCTGAAGCCCAAACAATCACAAACAGTGATTCAGTTCAAATGAGCTATTTACTGGCACCATACTATAGGTTGGCAATAGAACACGTCTCCTCACCTAAGCCCAGGAACAACAATGGCCTGAAATTCAATTCTATATCAACCAAAAAGAAAAACAAATTAATGAAGCCCCTCCTCCTGCACATTGATTGAAAATAATGCCCAAAGGAAACTGGACTCCCCGGAATTGTAAGCTCCCTTCCACACAGTGATGCTTGAGTATTTCATGTTCTCCCTACCGTAATATAAGCTCCAAGGGGGCAGGGATCTTTGCCCTTTTCATTCATTGTTTCACTTCCAGGAACCAAAACCATGCTAACAGTATATAGAGTGAATATATGCTAAATGATGGGTGGGAAGAATGAATTGACTGAATAAAAGAATGAATCATTATGCCTATGAAAGCCAGTTGCTTCTTTTCCACACCCTTCAGCACTATGTTCCATTGCTTCTCTCAATATTTGCCCCTTTACCATGCTGTTTTCTGTGCTGTCAATCATATTTAGTCCCCACATCCACCTAAAGCTCCATCTCTTCTCTGAAGTCTTTCTTCACCTCAACTCCCTACAGCATATACCTCTACAACATATTCATCAGTGTGCAGAGACCATCTGGTGCTTGGCAATGTTAATGTTATCAACATAGAAGACATGGAAGAAGTATAAGACAAGATCCTAGGAACTCCCCATATAGCTCGAGGCAAACATTCCATAGGAAAATAATGAAGGAGCCATATAAAATAATATCTGATCAACAGTCAAAATGAGCAAGAGAAACAAACAGAAATACTAAAGGTGATTAAAATTAGACGTCACTCCAACTCCATCTTCCACTGCTACCCTCACCCCATTTTGTTCCAGTAATAATAGGGAACAATAAAATCACTCATCTAGATACTTAGTCTGCCTGGATGCTCTTCTTGAATTCTTAATGAATTATTTTTATTCTTCAAAATCTAGTTCAAGTGTCAATTCTTCTATAAGCCTTCTGTACCCTTCTGACCCCAACAAAGTTATTCACACTCCTCTTTATGCCTGCGTATACTCTTAGTATTATAACTTATCAAGCATGTAATTACTTGTTAACCAATGTATTTCCTCTCATATTTATTAAATTTTAAAACATATATATATTCTTCAATACAGTACTTCTAGAAATAATACCTACAGAAGTATTTCCACATGTGTAAAAAAAGTATAAGAGTATTCATTGTACCACTTCTTTAATTATAAAATAAAATGGAAATGGATTAAATATCCAACAAAATGAAATGTAATATAATATAATGTAACCATTAAATAAGTTAAACAAATCTATATGTACAGACACATAAAATTGTTCATGATTTGTCAAGTAAACCAAGTAACTTGAAGAGCAATATACATGATAGACCTCATTTTTTCACACATAATTATATTTTGATGCTTGATTTATATGTCCATATATACATGATAAAACAGGTACCTCTGGAGAGTCATTTGGGAAGAAAATGAAGATGAAGAAGGGTTTTAATGTTTTTAATTGTATACTTTTTAATTACACAAGACATCTATTCAAATGGCAGACATACCACCTATTCAAATGGTAGACATTGGGTAATATGATGTCTGCAGCTAATAACTCACTTAATGAAGTGTTGGGAAATGAAAGAAACCAAATGATTTCACAGCTGAGTCCTGCCTGATTGGTCTTTCAGTTGCCAACCTCCTGGAGTTTGGTTTAAATTCCTTCTACAAACTCACAACTCATCAAAGGATAAAATTTTCTCCATAAGAACTGGAGAAGTCAACTGGACTTCACCTGTACACTTTGCCTAGTGGAGAGAAAGGTAACATTAACTGACAACGTTTCAAATAAAACATTCTGTTTTTAAGTATCATCTTTCCTCAAAAGGAGAAAAATGGAGTAAAAGAATAACACTATTTTGTTGTTATAGGTAGCAATTTGAAACATGAAGACTATGATTCTACTGTTTTGTCTTCTGGGATCAACTCAGTCATTACCAGTAAGTGCAACATGTTTATTTTATGTGCCAACCAGCCTTAGTAGCATCTTAATTGCAGAACTATTGCTCTTCCTGCCCTCCACTAAAACTGCTCTGTTCTGTGACCCATTCCCTTAGCTTTCAATTTTTATTTTCCAAGGTGACAGATAATAAACTAACAAAGTATTAGTGCATATTTTAATGTGCTTACATTTTTTAAATTCATCCACTCTATTGTGGTGGGACTTCTACTATTTGGGCAGAGCCATAGGTAGAAATGAGGGAAAAAAGAATACCTTGGGTTATGACTACTCAAGTGGAATATAATTTTACTTCCCAAAAAGAATTTAAGGTTTTTTGGCAACTAATTATTTTCTCATGACTAAAGAAGTAAACTACATTTTCTGATTTTTCTAATTAGAAGCACAAAACATCTAGATTATCTAAACTCTAAAAAGATGACCAAATCATGCAATTGCAAGGAAGTACTACAGACTTTTTTTATAACTTTTGACTTAGAACATTTCATCACAAAATGTGTTTACATGTGAAAGATAGGCTGGGCCTCTAAGTAGGCTTCCCTTTGACTATTTGTTATACTTAAGTGTGGGCATTAAGAAACTAATTAGGATATATTTGCTATAAAATAGCAGAGCACAAAGAAAACATTTTAGGTGAGCTTCAAGCCCACTTGACACTTCTGTAGTAATCCATACCATGAACAAATATTTACCGGAAACCTTCTATAAACCACCCAGTTGTTGAAAATACAGTGATGAAGGGGGAAAGGGCGTGGTCCTCCATGGTGTTCACTAGCACAGTACTAATAAATAATAAATAATTTCTAAAAACTGTTAAATGATAAATTATAACTATGATTAGTCAGGAGATGAAGAGGGTGATCTTGTAGGAACAGGATGGAACAGACATGAATAAACCTCCCTTGTATTTCATTCCAGATGATACATATGTCCTTGAAAGAAGGACATATCTTGCACAAATTCAATTTCTAAACAAGGTAAATTAGGAAATTAAATTTTTTGTAAAACATTGATTTTTCACTTCAAATAAATTTACCAAAAGTTTCTCCTAAACAGTGTCTCTTGTATATTTAAGTTACTATACACTTTGTAAAAACTGAAGAGAAATAAAATTTCCAGGAACACAGCTTCCATTCAATGTAGACTGAGGAGTAGCATGCAGGTCAGTGTAGACTGCTAATAGCCAATAACATAAGAGCAGCTAGAGAAACATGGTGCAGGGGATATCGGGGGCAAGAGGGCAGGTGGCACTGAGATATCTATTAGGTATAGTAATGGTATTTATCAACCAAAAAATCAGGAAACATAGATGTGACTTTTTTATGATTTGTAAGCTAATTTATTGAATTATCATAAAGGCATCAAAATGAATAAATTTGCAAATGTGGACACTTAAAATAGCCCAACACTTGTTTTCAGTAGGTCTGTTTAGGAATTGGAGATAGGGCAGGTTGCATATTCAGGTCAGTGAGCCTCAGTAAGAAATGAGCTCAAGCAAAGACTTGAAGCAGGTGAGGGAGTGAGCCAATTTGTGGGGAAAGAGCTTTCAAGACAGAGGGAACAGGTGGAGCGAGGCTCTGAGGCAGGGCTGGGCCTTAGCTGTCACAGAGACAGCACTGGGGCCCAGGCATGAGGGCCTTGTGGGCCACTGTAGGGTCTCTGGCTTTTACTCTGAGTGAGAATAGAAGTCTACACAGGGGATGAGCGGAGGAGTGAAAGGAGCAGACCGCTCTTCTCAAAGGACTGCTCTGGCTACCATGTTGAGAATAGCTTATAAGGGATGAAAATAAATTTGCAGAATTTATACTTACATATCTTAAAGCTTGTAGGAACCTCTAAGAATGGATAATGCTGGTCTTACCTCTTATAACTGAGGAGGAAAATCCAAAGTGAAACCAGGAATTAGTGGCAGCTCCAGGGTATATCGAAGTGGCCCAAGGGCACTACTCAAAGACCACACCCTACCCCACTGCCCTCTGAGGTACAGCCAGAAGCAAAGGCTAACTGGGGTCAACCAGGCCAGGGAGTTCCACTTGAATGCAGAGGGAGTGCTGAGAGAAACCAAGAGAAGGACTCCTTTCTTCAAGGACCAAGAGCACTTTCAAGATCTTGTTCTGCCACTCACCATGTCACCTCAGGCAGGTCACTCTGCTTGTCCGAGCTTCAGTTTCCTTATCTTTAAACAAAACTATACAAATATAGCACATGAATCACAAACACATTTTCACCCCTTAAACTCAGTGGTTCTTAATACACTAGGAAAATACTCTGGCCAGAAAAGAGACTTCACTTCCATTACAGAAACTGACTCATCAGGTACAGGTCAAAAGCAGAATGCATCATGGAAACACACTAGGAGTCATGGTGGCATGCCTTCAAGCACTGCGGAAAAGCACATGTGTAAAGAGCTAAGGGCAGACTATGTCTTTCATGCCCTGAAAAAAGAAGAAGGCAGTCACAGAAAAGAAATGGAAAGCTAGAAATCCATGTGTCCTCTCCCTCGCTGTCTCCCTCCCCACACCGCTCACCACCTAGGCTGACATTTTTCCATCTACAGTTCCATCTCCTGTTGTGCATAAGATGTTTCAGGAAATTGAAACTCCAAACACACAGAGCCTAAAGGCAGACATTTTTGCATTTGGGACAAATTGTTACATCCTGAGAATAAATGGACACAAAACTTCAAACACATACCTGACTCTTCAAATATTTGTTGTCACAGATGCAGCTCACCCCTGCTTTGGGACTTCCTCCAGCTCAGCTGGTTCCAGATCAGACAACCCTACTGAACCAACAGCATCCGAATCAGGTAAGAGTCCTCCAAGAAGAACATTGCAGACCAGCGAAGGACACGTGGTAAGACTAGTGGATTTAAAATCAAGACTTACACAGTGTCCCATGACTAAATGAGAGGGAGGCTTTCCTTTCAGGGAAAAAAGCAAAACAGGAACCATACAGTTTTTTTAAAAAGTCAAGTCAGGAAAATAAAGCATCCTCATTCTTTTTCCTTTTATCTGAATAATAATTTGTTTTAGTCACCCAATCTAGTAAACTTTGAAAAGCAACAGCTGTACCCATAGATAAAGTTCGGTTTTCTATGCCCTTGTGAAACTGTGACATGTCACTGTAGTATTTGCCAGAGCTAACAAGGATTAAGAGGTAATCTATGAAAACAACTGCAGATTTCCTCAAGTTTCATTGCTGATGATGAGCTAATGCATCACTGTAGTGTCTATTTCTTCAAAGCATATTTAAATACTTTGGAAAACTACTTTGTCTCTTAGCTACTACCCTTCTTCTGACTCTAACCCATCCTCTCTGTTCTAAAGACCCCCACCTCACCTCCATCTAGACTTTGTAAAACAATCAGATAAAAACAGAGTCTAAAGTTCTTTTTTAAATCTGTGGACATTATGAAATACTCAAGTCATAAGCCTATCTCTCTCTTTAGGAAACCTGAAGCTTATGTAATACCCTTTAAGAAAAAGAATACAAAATTAGATATGTAAAATTAAGTACTAAAGTGGATAATTCACAAGGAGATGAGAAATGAGTAATACACACTTTTTAAGCTGACAAATGCCATACACTGGATAGACTGCTAGGGTGCCTCCAGGGCCAAAGAAGGGGGCAATACTAGTGAGAGGCACTGAAGCTTCACCTTCATTTACCTTCATGGCAAATCCACCTGTGATGGGAGTACAAGTTACTTGAGGATTTCCACCACTGACGACAGGTTAGTGAAAACAGACTGCCTCTTGTCTCATCAATTTCAATGCCCTGCAGGTCTTCCATTCTTTAAGTCTAATACCATTGACACAGATGCTCACGCTGGGGTCAGATCTGCAGCTGGTAAGTACTCTTTTATATCATTTTAATATCCATTGTTGAGTATATATACCTAACATTGAGTGTGTGTATGTGTGTGTGTATCCACAAATGTACACACACACACATTTTCACGGTAGATCAGTTGAAAGAGAGATGACAGGGAAGTCAGAGAACTGAATGCTATTCGATACATTATGAAATTTTTTTCTGAGCAAAATAGCCTCTAAAAGAATCCTAATTCTTAAGTCTTTACTTTTGTAGTTTTTCTCACCTCTTATCCAAGTTCCTCTCCCCATTTCTTAACCAGACCTTCCGCTCTGCACCCCCACAGCACCTGCACACCCACTGCAACACATAACCACTATCTCCACCCCAGTGACTAGAGCAAGCCAGAAGGGACAGAAAGATTTTCATTTTTTATAGAATATCGGTACAGTGATTTAAACTATATATATATAATTTAAGTTCCTTTCCTGATTAAAGTGGATTTCCTGATTAAATCTGGATCCAGTGATCAGATTTGTACAATTCATAGTAATAGATTATATGCAAAATAGATACTTTGTTCCTATGAAGAATCATTTCTTTATAAGAAAACCCTCAGAAAAATTCCAAGAATTGTTGCTGTTATAGCCAAAAACAAAAAGCCAGGATGAAATCCTAAGTAGTTCTCAAAAAGAATGAGTTAAATGCCAAAGGAAAATTTAACATGGAAAAAAGTTAGACAACATATGGTTGTGCTGGTAGACTAGTCTGTGAACTCTGTCTCCGTAACTTATTCCAAATGAAATATAGTATATTTCACATTTGCATAGCAAGTTTTTTATTTAAACATGTTTTACATTCAGTAAATACATGATAGCTTCCTGAATGTTCAAACTGAAACAACACAGTGAAAATCTTCTTTGCCTTACAGCTAAATCCTCCTGCAGGGATGGCACCTGCTGCCCAGACCCTCCCACTGACCCTGGGGGCGCTAAACATGCAGCAGCAGCTGCAGCCACAAGTAAGTTCAACAATGGGACCTCAGTTTACCATTGGGGAGCGTTTTCTCGCAGATGGAAGTCTAAAGGGAAGGAAAGAATCTTTTCAAGGCTCTTAAACATTTTACCCAGATAATTGGCAAAGGGATGCCCTACAGAACATGGAACTGTCTTTGACAGTTTGGTTCTTGCTGAAAATCTATGAGAACACACCCAGAAAACTGCGCATGCTGCCCCATAACCTCTCTAGCCTGCATTTATCATGGGTGGCAGAGAAATGCGAAGAGCTTGGAAAGGCTGAAGGGTCAAAAGTATAACGGGGCAAACTGAGAAGTAGGAGGATTCTTCTCTAGCATGGTGTGGGGTTTTTTGCATCATTTTTCCATTATATTGAATTTATTGGGGTGACACATCAATACAATTCTACAGGTTTCAGGTGCACAATCCCACAGCACATCGTCTGCACACTGTGTGGTGTGCTCACTACCCCGGTCAAGCAGTGTGTTGGGTTTTCCGTTGAAGGCCTTCTGGGTGGCCAGAATCATCCCAAACTAAAATTAAGAGGAGAATAAAATCTAAATTCAGCAAATCTAATCTTTCACTTTTGGACTTGTTGATCAGGTCCCTTTGAAAGTCCCCGAGTACTTTCTAGATCTTTCCTATTTACCACCATCATTTTTCAGGAAAACCCCTAGAAAACCCTCTCACAGTAAGATATAAAGGATATACTTAGGGCATCAAACACTTAGGGGAGTGTTTGAATTCTAATTAGGGACAAAGCCTTAATTTTTACCTCTTTGAAACTTCCTTAAGCAGATTATTAGGCTCTTGAGAAAAATATAATGATCCCTGTATGACTGGACTAAGTCATTATGGATAACTTATTCTCCTTAACAAGTTATCTTGGCCTCACATAATGGTATAATTTTTGAGTAGAAGCTTTATTGTTTATTACATATATCATATATGGTAATTATAGGTAACTCAGAAAATACAGGTGAGCAAAAAAACACCCAAAGAATTCAGTTTAACATTAGGGGGCAATATAGTCATAATAGCCAGAATTAAACACTGTTAGCACTATAGGATATGTCCTTCCTGTCTTTTTTGTGTGATATGGTAAGCACATTTTCTAATAAAATATGTTCTTACAATATCTAACGTTCTGTAATAATATTTTCCCTTAATGAATATTGATTAGTCTTTGTGTTTTGAAATAGTCACTTATAATATAGTTTTTAGTGATTGTTTAGTATTCCATTATATTGAAAAATTTGGAGGGGTTTCAAAATTTGCTTCTACAAATTATGCTACAGTAAACATCCTAGTAACTAACTTTTTGACCATATCAATGATTATTTCCTTAGGACCAGTTCTTAAGAAAGGAATTTGTAGGTCCAAAGACATACAAAAATATAAGACTTTGAAAACACATTCCCAAATTAAGAAGCATGACTATTACAGTGGACTGATGTATCCTAACTACCTTCTTACCACTATGGACACCTCCAGGTTTCAATAAGAGTAAGCTTGTGTTAATTAGTCATTATGTTCAAAACTGAGTTGAATTGACAAAATAATTTTATGCTGCTCAATTTAAATTTCACATTATATGCAACTATATTCATACCTTTTAAACCTGCAATTTATAACCTGCAATTATATTCATACCTTTGTCCAAAATAACAACACAGGACACTCTATGCTGCTTCATTAATTCACATTTGTGAAATTCTGTCATGTAATGAATTTTTACACTTCTTTTTTAATATTGAGATGTATACTTGTACTTATTTCATACAGATATATTAAAGCCTTCACTCAACATATTTGCTGCTTATTTATACCTCAATAATAAAAGTAATCCTCTTAAATGGACCAGAGAGGCAGGCAAATAAAAAGAGAATTCCTTTAACATGTGATCTTGACAATCCTTATGCCAACTGCCCAACTTCAGTTCAATTACCGCCCTGCTCTAACCTTGAAGTCAGACTTAGTACATCTTCATGTTCAGCAAAGAATATCCACTCTACTCATATGCATTAGTTGTCATTGTAGATGTTATTAAAGGTTCAGTAAAAGAGAGGGTTTAACATTGCACACCCCCCAACGTGCAATAACGTAAATCAATTCCCATTCTCAGTGGAAATTCCTCAACACCTCTAGCCTATACCACCACCAAAGGTCTCCCTTCATGCCTGACCTTCTGTGTAGCTCCAGTCCCTCTGACCCTGCCTTTCCAGGGTCCTCTGCCAGGAACTTGGTCACCAGTCCAAAGCTCCCATTTATTAAAGCAAGGCCAACATGGGTGAGTGAATTCTAATCACACAGCTGGTCAAATCTCAGCTCTCCCCTTATTACCTGTGTGATGTTGGCCAAGTTACTTAACCACTCTGTGGCTCACTTTCAAACTTTTGTATTTTAAAAGCTCTACTGCGTTTTAATGTATCTTCTGAAGTAACATAAAATAAACATGCATCTTTATCACACTTTACATTATTATTTCTTGGGATAATTTTCAGTTTGGAGGTGGCTTAAGACCAAAATTAATTTTGGATCATCCAATTTACTAACTTCTACCTTCTCAGTGTGCTGCCTTGTACTGGTTTCTGAATCTCTCTGGGTCTAATCTTTTTACAGTTTGGATGAGTTCTGATTCCTATCCAGCTCTATGAGCCTATATGTATGATTACGAATGATACATTAGTAACAAGTAGTTGTTTAACAAATACTGTGTTTTTAAGCAAATCTTGATATTTATACCATCTATCAGAACATAGCTTTGAATATTTTTTTTTACTGAATTTTTACCATTTTTTTTCAGATGTTACCACTTATTGTAGCACACCTTGGAGCCCAGGTAAGATGATTTGTATGATGATTTTTGTTTTAAACATCTTAATGTGAAATATTTAATCTTGCTTCAATTTACCAGATAGTTGCCAAGTTTCCTATTTACTTGGTGTTATATGGATATTGATAATAATGAAAACACTTACTGAGTCCTTACTATGTACCAAGCACTATTATAAGTATTTTATTATTTATTATATACTGTCTCATTTAATCTTCAAAGCCACCTTTTACAGACAATATTTTTATTTCCAACTTGAAAATGAGTAACTGGAGGCTCAGAAATGCCACTATAACCACACAGTAAATGTCACACAAGTCAAGCAGTCAGTCCTTCAAACCACGTTGTCAAGAAAAATAAAGTAATGGAATCGATCTAATGAATAATGATTTGGGGATTTATTTATTAATTTCTAATTTATTTATTAAATACATATTTTCCCTAAAAGTAATATAAACACTTCTTCATCTTTCTCCCTATTTTCTTTTGTCAAAAATGATTCTTGAAATCACTGATAAAATTACCAAGAGTCAAAATTAAATATGAGCATCAGGTACCAGCTTTTACTTCTAAAAGCAGAATCAAATATAAAATTATTATCCACTCTTCATTCCACATCTGGGAATGCAGCCCAAGGAAATAATCTGAAATACAGGAAATGTATTAATCAAAATAACATTTATACTATAGAGGAATACTTTGTTCAACTTAAATTTTAAAGAAAACATAAGTAAACTGCAACAAAAAAGCAAATACTTTGTGATCATTCAAAAGTCTATTTATTAAAGTATGTCAGTTATATGGTTAAGTGATTGTTGTATAGTATTGAAAGATAAGACACAAATTGTATAAATGACATGACTTCTGTTATGTAAAAACTAAATGTGTGAAAAACACTTGGAAAGAAATACATCAAACTCTGCTTGATGGGATTATATATTTGTTATTGCTTTCTGCCTTTTCCAAATTTATTTCAATGTACATCTATTACTTAATAATAGAAAATATATAAATTTTAAAATATGAAAGAATTCACATCGGATGATGCCAACAGTCCATCATGTACTGATGAGTTTTGTGATGCAAGTCACAAGATAGTTTTAAAATTTTGTTAAAAACTTAAAAATTCTCTATTTATAATTTTTAAAACTTTTTTAACTTTTTAAGTTATGTTATACACATCTTGCCATGCATATATTACTATTTGTGTAATAATTCACACTATTATTTTCCTTTTAGGGAACTATCCTAAGCTCGGAGGAACTGGTAAAAAATAATTTTAATTCCTAATACTTAAAAATTCTTTTCAGTGCTAACACAATGCTGTTTTCTGTCCTCATCTCCATAGTTTCTTTGACCACAAACCCCTAAGTTGCTATCTACTACAATAAATTGAACAATGTAATAGCTCTTTGCATTAGGTCATCCTTTATCTAGAAGGGACTTCTATCATCATTCTCCAGCTACATCTCCGTTAATAAGACTTAACTTTTGTTTTTCATATATTGACATCAGATTTGATTCTATCCAGAAAGCCAGTGCATATTTTTTTACTTTATGTTGATTAAAATCCAGGATTATAAATTATCAAAATGCATGCAGATGTAGAATAATATATGTTGATATTTATTGCAGAAAAAATTAATTTACTTGACTTAAATTTTTAATTTTCATAGGAAAATATATCTTCTAGTGTTTTATAGTGATGAACAATCCCCTCCCTCTACACATGAATGACTAAAAGGCTTAACATAAATAATACTCATGTTATCATTCCTAGGCCCTTCTATGCACGTCCCATAATTGATGTGATATCTAAATATGACATTGATATTAAAAGTTGCAATATCTAGGAAAACAGTGTTTTTTTAATTTTTCTGTTATGAAAAGGTAGAGATCTGCTGGACTGTCCATCAATAAAATAATGGGGCTGTTTGCCAACATGGATACATGAACCCCTACATCTACCAGTTTTTGAGCCAATTCTATAGGACAAGCACCTTAGAAGGTCTATTACATGCATTGCCTTTAATCCTCACCAAATTACAAAGTAGAAACTTTCAACCCCACTTTATAGATAAAGAAACTGAGACTCAGAGAGCTTAAGCAAATTAGATCTCAAGGTCAAAAACAGATTGAAAGCCACTGTGGCTGGGTAAGTCAGTTGGTAGAAGTGTCGTCCCATACACCAAAACATTGCTGGTTCAAACCCAAGTCAGGGCACGTACGGGAAGCAGTCAATGGGTGTTTCTCTCTCACATTGATAATTCTCTCTCTTTCTCACTCTCTCTCTAAAAAATTTAATAAACATCCTCAGGTAAGGATTATTTTAATGTATTTTTTAAAAAGATGGAAAGTCTTATTTCTGTCTACTATGCCAGTGATTTTCAAGCATTTTTTGGTAAAACCCACAGTAACAGCTACGTTTTTCATGCAGCTCACACACACACACACACACACACACACACACATTTCATAAAACTATATTTGCACTTATGTGGGATACACACATAATATATTTGATAGAGTCTACACTTTGTGTCTGATTTGTAATGATGTGCACAGCCCCACCTTCTTTATTTCAAACCTATGACTGTCATGATCCTCAGTGTGAAATCTTCTGTACTCTACACCTGTCTCTCATCTAGCATAAGTTTAATTCTGGCTGCACTCACAGCGCTGCCCAAACTTCAGTCCTGGACCACCAAGTCAGGACAACTTGGAATGCTGGTTAAAATGCAGATTTCTGGGTGCTGCCCTCAACCTACTCAATCACAACCTCTCTAACAGTGGAGCTCAGGAACTTGCCTTTTTAACAAGCTCCTTAAGTGGTTCTTAATGAAAACTAACAATTAAGAATGATGTTCAAGGAAACTGACCTGTACTCTGACTATGAGCTCTTGACCCTTTTATTCTATCAGAACTGGGAGGGCCCAGAAAACTGGTTTCTGTCTGAACTCTCTCCAAAACCAGCCAGTATTGAAGGATTTCTTCTGAGGGGGAATTTCTAACAGTGATTTTTTTTTCTCAAAAAAGAAAAAATTGTGGCAGCAACAGCATTCATACCAGTGTGCAAATCATTAAAATTGCTAAAAGAAAGATTTGACTGAATATTCCAGTGCCTTTGAAAAACACATCAAAGGAAGTATGAATGGAGGCAAACCATGAGATAGGGATTGAGTAATCTACTTGAAATAATTTTGCCTGTTAATTTTTAGTCTCCTACATTACTTTTTTAAAAATTATGGGCAAAAACAAAAAAAGGCTATGACTTAGGTCAATAACAGAGATATAGCATTGTAATTGTAGGAATTTTCTGCTGGGTTCTACCTGCAACTACACCTGATATTAGCCAAGGATGCATTCTTCCTCTTCTGGTGACTGGCTTGATGGTGGCTTTCCCTTTCCCTTTCTGAAAACGGAGCACAGCAAGGCATCCCGGTCATGAAACCAGCATCAGGCTCGGCTCAGGCAGGGAGGAATTTCCTAAAGATGAGGAATACCCCATCTTTATTATCTTCTCTGATTCTACCTTCTCCACCTTGCCATTCCTACCCCAATTTGCTCCCCTCAAAGAAGAAAGGCTGGTTGACTGCCCTTTGAAATGTACTCCTTTAACTCTTTTTGGTTTCCTTTCCTCACTCCAGCCAGGAGCCCCACACATCTTCACAGGCCTCATCTTCCAGCCCTTGCTCCCCGGAGCTATCCTGCCCAGCAGCCAGGCTAATCCAGATGTCCAGAACAGAATCCTCCCTGCAGGACAAGCAGGAGTAAATCCCTCCATCCAGGGAACCGAGAGCCCCTTCCTGACCCCCGGCGGCACAGACACTGACGATGACTTTGAAGTGACTACCCCTGCAGGCATCCAGAGGGGGACACACATTCCTGAGGGAACCACCACAGGGTCCCCAAATGGTAAGTTTACCCAGCTAGAAAAGTGCCTCTGGGTTAGCAAAGTCAGCTGCTGGGTGGGAGAGAAGACTTTTTGGCTTGACAAATAGAGATCTCAGTAAAGTCAGGGAGACCCTTTACTTAGAGTGGGCTGCAGCAATGTGAGGGAATATTTTTACTGGGCCACCAACCCTATGGGCTCAACCCAGGAAGAAGACATTTAATTGCTTATAACATACTTTTCCATTTTAGGTCAGAACTGGAAATATTTGTAAACAAACTGCTCTCTCCTTTTCCCATCGCAAACACACACAGACACACAGTAGGTGCAATGAATCACAATACTCTTTTCTACTCACCTAAGCCTCAGAACCTCCCTAACTTAATGTTAACACGCAGCTGCTAGTAGCACCCTGGAATTAGCACAAAGGTGACCCCATGAGCCATTCTCCACTGGTGAAACATAACAAATGCTGCAAAATAAGCTCTTCTAGCACTAACAACCAAAAATAATAGTTTAACAAGTGTGGATGTCTAGAACCAAATGTCCTTGGAGATAACAAAAAAAATGATTTGATATTGATACTCTTGCTCCTAGAAAAAAATTTTGATGTCAAAGAAAAATGTTTAAATTCAATACGCTTTTACCTTATTTAAAAAATGTTTTCTTTTCTTCCAGGAGTTCAGTAAGCTGAATTTTTTCCATCTAAATGACCTTAAATGTGGTGTTTTTCTCATTGGTCATATTTTGGAGAACATTGAGACACACTGGAGAATATCAGAAGATATTAATTCTTAGTTAACTAAAAGCCTTCTTGAAATTTCAGCAAATTCATTCTTCCTAGAGAGTGCTGACTTCTGAAAAAGAATAATTAAATAGATGATTTGTCTTTGAAATGCAACATTACGTCTTCTTGGATGTAGAAGATACATGTATTAAAACATATTTTGAAACTGTCTTTTTCTTTTTGGGGGATGAAAGAAAGGCAGACCCCCTTTCAGGAACCATGTGACCGCAGGATCCTAGGATGACAGTAGCATCTAGGGCCTGCTTTGGAAGCAGGCAGTGCGGCAGTCATGGGGGTGGACACTGGTTAATGGAAGGGAATTTTCTGATTTCTTCACACCTACCTTATGACTTATTCTCTCCCATAAGAGCTAGACATTTAATTTCAATATGCAAGTTATTTTTGATCATCTAAAATATACAGTGAAAACAAAGAATTATACATCATATTGTTTATCCTCAAGCTACTTTAATACAGAGCTAGTGATTATGGTGTTTAATAATTAATTTTAATATGTCTGAAAGTAAGAAATTACAGTGATAAAAGTTATCATTAATGATGATACTCTAGTTTCTCAGCCTAAAAGGTAGAATTTAATCTGATTTAAATTTATAACCCAGACCACAGGTGACAAACACAAGGTCCATGGGCTGAATCCCACCTTCCACCTTGTTTTGTCTGGCCCAGCACTTTGCTTCTACCCAGGAGCAGCGCCAAGCTCTTGCTTAACTGTTAAAGAGCAGTTACATTTATACAGTCCTAAAAGTTCATTCAGCCCTTTGAGGGCAACTGAGAGGCTGACATGGCCTCCGGTGAAAATGAGTTTGACACCCCTGACCTAGACCAATGATTTTCCCCTCTTTTCATGTCTTGGCACACTAAGATTTCATAGCACACCAAAAAATATATTTGTCATCCTTCTGAAAAAAAAATACGTATAATTTTCATTCATTCACACCAGATGGTTATTGCTGTGTTAGCTGTAGTCATTTTTTTATTTGACAATCTAAGGGGAAAGATGTCAGTGCCAATAACTAAGTAGTCAGGTATTGAATGTTTTAAACATTCTTGAGACACACCAGTTAAAACTAACTAACCTAGATCATTACAGTTCACTCAGAGTGGGAAAGGGTGAGAGAGATTAATACAAACTATACTATGGCTCCCACAGATGAAAAATATGGATGGATAGGTTTAATAACACATCTCAGTATAGTTGAGTCATCCCCATCAGTATGAAATAAGCCAAATATACACCTATGAAATAGAAATATTCCATGTTAAGCTTATTAAATGGTTAAAGATTTACTAGTGGTTTTAGACTTACTGGTCATAGTGTTTCAGATTTGCAGAATCTGAATAACACTTATAAATTGCTGAGATTTTCACAGCCAAATAAGTATAAATTAGGATTCAATTTTCCAAAATTCTTTTGTCACTAGTGTCATATGAACTGATTAAAAGAGCTATCAGAAGACTTCCTCAGTAACCCTGTATCAAAAACAATTATATTAAATAATGAATGGGTTAACAATGAGATCAAAGAAGAAATCAAAAAGTTTCTGGAAACAAATGAAAGTGAATGCAAAACAGCCCAGAACCTATGGGACACAGCAAAGGCAGTCCTGAGAGGGAAGTTCATAGCAATACAGGCCTACCTTAAACAGATAGAAAAATCTCAAATAAACAACCTAACCCTACATCTACAAGAACTACAGGAACAACCACTAACAAAGCTCAGAGCAAGTAGAACGAAAGAAATAATCAAAATCAGAGTACAATTAAATGACATAAAGACTAAAATAACAATTTAAAGGATCAATAATTCCAGGAGCTGGTTCTTTGAAGAGATAAACAAAATTGACAAGCCTTTAAGCAGGCCCATCAAGAAAAAAAGAGAGAGGGCCCAAATGAATAAAATCAGAAATGAAAGAGAAGTTACAGCCGATGCCACAGAAATACAAACGATTGTAAGAAATTACTATGAACAAACAAATGTCAAGAAATTGGACAACCTGGTCAAAATGGACTAATTTCCAGAAACATACAAGTTTCCAAAACTGAGTCAAGAAGAAGAAAAAGGCCTGAATAGATGGATAACAATGAGTGAAGTCAAAGCAGTAATCAAAGTACTCCAGGAACAAAAAAAGTCCTGCACAGGACAGGTTCACAAGCAAAGTTTACCAAACATTTAAAGAACTAACTCCTATACTTCTCAAACTACTCCAAAAAAATTAAGAAGAGGGAAGACTCCCAAACTCTTTTTATGAAGCCAGTATCATCCTAATTCCAAAATCAGGTATAGACACATCAAAAAGAAAACTACAGGCCAATATCACTGATGAACATAGATGTTAAAATCTGCAACAAAATATTAGCAATCCAGATCTAGCAGTATATTGAAAAGATCATACACCATGATCAAGTAGGATTCATCACAGGGATGCAAGGATGGTACCATATTGCAAATCAATAAACATAATAAACAGCATAAGCAAAATGATATACAAGTCACATGATCATATCAATAGATACAGAAAAAGCATTTGATAAAGAACAGCACCCATTGATGATAAAAAGTAAACACTCAGCAAAGTGGGAGTAGAGGGAGCATACCTCAACATAATAAAGGCTATATGTGAGAAACCTACAACCAACATCATATTCAATGGACAAAAACTAAAAGCTTTCCCCTTAAGATCAGGAACAAGGGTGTCCACTCTCACCACTTTTATTCAACATAATATTGGAAGTTCTAACCACAGTGATCAGACAAGAAAAAGAAATAAAGGCATCAAAATTGGAAAGGAAGAAGTAAAACTGTCATTATTTGCAGATGGCATGATAGTGTACACAGAAAACCCTACAGGTTCTACCAAAAAAACTACTTGACCTAATAAGTGAATTTAGCAAAATAACAGGTTACAAAGTCAATATTCAGAAGTCTAAGGCATTTTTGTACACCAACAATGAAATACCAGAAACAGAAACTAGGGGGGAAATCCCATTTACTTAGTAACAAGAAAAACAAAGTACCTAGGAATAAACTTAAACAAGGAGGTAACAGACCTGTACTCAGAAAACTATAGAACGCTGATGAAAGAAATTAAGGAAGATACAAATAAATGGAAGTATATACACTGTTCATGGATTGGAAGCAGTAACATCATTAAAATGTCCATACCACCCAAGCAATCTATAGATTCAACACAATCCCTATTAAAATACCAATAGCATATTTCATAGATCTAGGACAAATATTTCAAAAATTTATATGGAACAAAAAACAACCCCAAATAGTCTCAGCAATCTTGAAAAAGAAGAAAAAGTAGGAGGGATCACAATACCTAATATCAAACTATATAGCAAGGCCACTGTAATCAAAACAGTATGGTAATGGCATAAGAACAGACACATGGGTCAATAGAACAAAATAGAGAGCCCAGAGATAAACCCATATCTCTATAGCCAATTAATATTTAACAAAAAGGACAGGAGCACAAAATGGAGGAAAAACTGCCTTTTCTATAAATGGTGTTGGGAGATCTGTACAGGTACATACAAAAAAATAAAACTAGACCACCAACTTACACAATACACTGCATAAACTCAAGATAGATAAAAGACTTGAATATAAGGCTTTATATTTAAAGCCACTATAAAAGTCCTAGAGGAAAACGTAAGTAAGAAAATTTCAGATATCCCACACAGCAATATTTTCATTGATATATCTCCTAGGGCAAGGAAGATAAATGAAATAATTAACAAATGGGACTATATCAGAGTAAAAAGCTTCTGCACAACTAAAGAAACCATCATCAAAATGAAAACAGAATCAACTGTATGGGAAAACATTTTTGCCAGTGATACCTCAGACAAGGGTTTGATCTCAAAAATATATAGAGAACTCATATGACTCAATGCCAGGAAGACCAACAATCTAATTAAAAAATGGGCAAAGAACCTGAACAGACACTTCTCCAAGGAGGACATACAGAGGGCCTAGAGACATATGAAAGGCTGCTCAGCATCACTAGCTATCAGAGAGATGCAAATTAAAACCACAATGAGATACCACTTCACACCAGTCAGAACGGCCATCATATAAAAATCAATAAACAACAAGTGCCAGTGAGGTTGTGGAAAAAAGGGAACCGTAGTACCCTGTTGGTGAGAATGCAGACTGGTACAGCTACAGTGGGAAACAGTATGGAATTTTCTCAGAAAACTAAAAATGGAACTGCTTTTTGACCCAGCAATTCCATTGTTGGGACTATACCCTAAGCATCCTGAAACAGCAATCCATAAGAACCCATACACCCCAATGTTCATAGCAGCACATTTTACAATAGCCAAATGCTGGAAGCAACCTAAGTGCCCATCAATAAATGAATGGATCAAAAAACTGTGGTACATTTACATGATGGAATACTATTCAGCAGAAGGAAAGAAGGAGCTCCTACATTTTGCAACAGTGTGGATGGATCTAGAGAGCATTATGCTGAGTGAAATAAGCCAGGTGGTCAAAGACAAATAAATACCATATGATCTCACATATAAGTAGAACCTAATCAACAAAACAAAAAGTAAGGAAAATATAACCAGAGACATTGAAATTAAGAATAAAGTGATAGTAACCAGAGAGGAGGTGGGAGGGGATATTGGGGGGATTAGGGAGAAGAGTTGTTAAAGAACATGTATAAAGGATACATGGACAAAGCCAAAAGGTGGATAGAATTGAGGGTGGGAGGTGGGGATGGCTGGGGTGAGGAGGAATGTGGTGGGGGGGATGGAGACAACTACACTTGAACAACAATTGAAAAAAGAAGGTCATTGACATTAACAAAAGACAAATCAATGAACAACAAGTGCTGACAAGGCTGTGAAGAAAAGGAAGCCCTA